GTTGTAGGAAGAAGAAGGTGTAACTTAGAATAAATCTGAATGTTGATACTGGAAGCATCTGATCAAGCATTTTCCATGGCTGTGTCCTGTGGAGACATTTTTGGACGTTAATTTCAGACTACTCTGTGCATGTGCAACCCTCATGCAAACACACCTGGCTGGTGTATTACTCCCAGGCCCTTCTAGCTGTGTTTTTAAAGACCAAAAGGGGCAAGACGATCTGACACTCAAGGGTTTTTTTCTGATTTTTCTAAGCTGCAATGTTAGCTCAGCTCCCTCTACTACGCAAAACTGCTTAAAATAAAATCATGTATTTCTGAGAACTGACTGTTCCTCTTATGACTGTAGGAACAAAAGTGCAACATGATCTTCTTCATCACAGAAATTAAAATGCTTTCTGGCTGAAGGACAAAGTTCTGTTTCTGCTTAGTGGGACCTCCTGCCAATGTTATTTGTGCTGAGTAGTGTCTTGCTCAGCAGATTCTGCTCTTCAAACCAAAAGAGGAACCTCAGTATGAGGAAGGGCAAAAGGATTGGTCCCAGTGTTATATATTTATTACTAAAGCTTTTGCTTAAAGTGCTGGACAACGTTTGCAAACCTTTAAAAAAAACCCAAACAAACAAAAAAACCCAACAACAACAACAACAATAAAAACACTACGCCAGAAACCAGGGCATTAGGAATCTGTTCCATTAGGAACTCAGCAGGAAGGTGAAAAGTTTAAACAATTGAAAAACAGAGTAACAGGCAGCAGTTGGAGATTGTGGTGCATGTGCATATGCCTATGTACAAAAATATTAATGGAATACATTGTCAAAAACATAATACCTCTAGTTCAGCCATATGTAAACAGGCACAGCTCCAGAGGAATAAACTAAACTTCACCCACTTAAACTGACTTCATCATCATGTGTTTCTGTACACAGAATCTAGGTTTGAGAAAGAAGGGATTTTATTTGTGCATGTTTTGATAAGTATCAAACATAAAATCTTTGGGTTTATTTTTTTAAGGTATATTTTTATTTTTTTAATCAGAGCTGACCAAATTTTACACAAATCCAGTTTCTTCATTCTAGCACTTGGGAGCTCCAGTCGTGTTTTCAATTGCTAGCTCTGACAGCAATTACATGCAGAGCTTTGAGCAAATCACTAAATCCCTCATTTCTTAATAGAGAATATAACTCTTCCTTGTCTCATGCTGTCTGTATATCTTGCTTATTTAGAATGAAAGCTATAGAAAGTATGAATTGCTGTTTATATCTGGCACAGTACAGTCCTGATCCCCACGGGTGGAGCCTCAGGGTCAGGAGAGGTGGTGCTGCAGTAGAAATAGTTTCCAGATCCACCAGCAAAGGACTAAGATGCAGTGAAGGATAAGCAAGCAGTTGAGCAAGAAACAAGCACTTTAGTAGCCCTGAGTCACAAGAGCTTTCATGCAATCTATCGCTCACTTCAGCACAAGGCAAGTGCTACACAGTTTTAGATAAAAAAAAGAGTAGAGATGTGTGATGGGCTTGGGTTTGGTAGTTTGGGGTTTTTTTCTAATGTAGACATAAACCTTTTAACACTGGTACGGCTTGGTTTTATTTATACATTTGTTAGTTGTAAAGGAAGGATGACTTTCCCACTCATGCTAATAATGATCCCTCTACCAAGGTCAGTAGTAGTTGCTTCTGTCAGAACACAGCTCGCAAAAAAACAAGGTGGTCTTGTCTGAAAACAGCCCTGAATAACTTATTACAGGAGATGTTCAGTAAGACAGAGATGTTTATCAGACTTAACCTAGAAGTCTTTTACACAGAGTAAACTGACTGGCATTTTAAAGTAGATACAGATGAAGAGACAAAGGAGGTCAGTAACTATATGTACTTTGAAAAGAAGAGACATGAATGAGAAGGAGTATGTGTTCTTTGACATGTACATTTCTGCTTCAAGCAGATGCCTCAGTCTTTGAACACCAGCCTTTTTTTGCCTGAAATGTTCAGATATATTAACAATGTGTTGATCAAATCTTAAAATGAAATTTAAAATCAGTCATGCCTATAGGACAAAACATGTCTTTTATTGCTGGCAGGAGAGATGGGAGGTTCTTTTACAAATTTATGACATCACTGATGACTCTAGTCTTAAGAAAATTGAAAGAGAAATATGCTTGCTTTTAAAATGTTCATCTTTGGTGATATATTCAGGTATGGCCAAATTTTTTTTCTAAAAAAAAAAAAGCACAATTCATTTGTGCTGCTGCCTTACTGCTGTAGCATATAGATGACTGGAGACAGCCACAGTCCTTGGACTAAACAGAAATTTTGTCTGTTCTCCAGATAATGTTTTTTGCAAGAGGAAACAATGAAACCCATGGGGTAATATTGAAGACAAATGGCATTTTATTATTATGTCATTATGCCAGACATTTGGTTTTGCCAAATTCAGTCTTCCTGTCTTTTTAATTAATCTCTGCTTTATAACCTTGGAACATTATACAGCCTTCCAAGATTTCTGCTCTGTGCCCAATTGTTTCACTCTGTGTGATTCAATCAAATGTGTCTCCTTGGCAGAGTTTTTCTGAATGGCAGCAGTCAAACTGATGGTGTGGAGACGGAAGAGGTTTTCATAGCCAGGTTTGCATCACTGGTGTTGTCCCTGAGACCAAGCTATCCATATCTCACGTGTTTTGTGGATAAGAGAAGGAGGAATGTTTAGACTTAGCCGGTTTTCAGATTTGCTGCAGTGTAGAAGAGCAACTTTATGTGTCAGAACTATGCTTATCTGATGGTTTCCTGGCTTTTTACAGTTCTGCCTCCCGTAAGCCATCAAGTCTGCCATCGCACAGTGGTGGATGGAACTTTTACAGAGCAGCTCCAAGCTGTGACATGATCATTTAAAAATCCCAGCACAGGTTTCATTTTACTTTTGGAGATTGGCCTCCTTTTGTCACAGAGGCCCCTATTTCACCTCCATGTTCTGTGCCTCTACACTGCACATACTGTTTATTGCATTGCTGAGAGTCAGGTATGACATTTCCACTGCCAGTTAGAAAAGTGAGGCAAGTCTCATGTCTGTGATGTCACCAAGGACCTCTAGTTCATGTCTGTGTTATTATGACAGTGAAATTCTAGTTTACACAGAGCTGAAAGTGTGAAGCACAAGTCGAAACCAGGACAGTGTCTGAATCAGTAGAGGTGGGTAGCAAGGCATGTGATTACTATTAATGATATTCTATGTACCTTTTATGTCATTTGAAACTCAAAGCCAGGAGTCACATGTTTCTAACAGCCAAAGATGTATGGGGTGGCCATGTATCAACTGCATTTTTGTTATTATTTTTAAAGTATTATTTTTAAAGTATAGCACTTGAGGGTTCCACTCAAACTCGGTTTCACTCTGCTGGAGACTGTCAAAACCTAGACTCTGCCCCCAAAAGTTTACAATCCCTGCTGTCGCTTTGATCAAGTTTTGCATTAACGCACTTAAATGGAGCATTTGAAATGAGAATAAAAGGCATATTTTTTTTGACTGCAGCTATTAATTGCAGTTTTCAAGGCTCCTCACTACACCCCATACCCTGAGGGACTCTGTTCTCAGTTTCACTCTTCTTCAAACATGGCATGCTCCAGAAATCCTGGGAGCTGTTCTGGATTGCAGCAGGTGCCCAGCTCAGAGGTGGACCACAGAGCTGCACGTCTTGCTTCTCCTCCACTTCTCCTCCCTCCAGCCTGATTTCCACCACTGCATGTTGATGGGAGTTTCTAAGGATAGTGACTTCCTAGAAGACAGCTGCTTTTTTTATAGGTGACCATTTATTATCTGCTTGAAGATAATCCTCTTCCAGATAAAATCTTCGTGTGAGTAGAAGAGAAGTGGATTTATTGCTCCTGGTAGACCCTTGGAGGCAGAGTGGAAACTAGAATGGGATGGTACACAGAGAGGCATATTCTTATCATGCTGAGGATAATGAAAGGGGCTCTTTCTGCTCTGCACAGGCAGTGTACTTACTCCAAGAGATATCTGCTGTTTCTTATACCCAGAGTATTTTGTACTTCCAGCAATGTAAAGCAATAAATCTTCAGTGTAACAAAGCCCAAGCTCCTGACTCAGTGGGAAGCAGAATATAGAAGTCCTGCTGCCTTTTATTCTTAGACTTCATGCCAGGGAGAACAGGTATTTGTTCTCCTGAATGAGCAGCATGAGGAGGTTTGCAATTTGAGGAGCAGCACTGCGTACAGTCCTTGCTTGACTGGCTGACCAAAAGAGCATCTGGAAACCAGTCATCCTGAGTCACAAGGAGTGCATTGCTCCAGGTTTCCCAGGGATATGCTAAAATACAAGGCAGTATTCCTATTTTGAAGATGAGGGATATTGGTTTTTTGCACTCCTTAAGTACTAATGGGAGTCACAGGTCAAGCTACTTAGGTGTGCAGACAGTGGTGTGGACCCCTACACATAAAGCCTCTTAAGTTACATTACCCCCTTACTGACACTGAGAACTTGATTTTAACTTCAACCATGGACTCATCATTGATTATACGACCTATTATTTTGTGGCAGTAACTTATTTCTGGAGTTTGCACAAGTTACACATGTTGATGTGTGAATGACTTCATGGTCTTCTTCTTGTTAGATACTACGTCTCCTCAAAGTGTAGTCTTTTACTTACTGCAGCAGGTAAAAGCTTAGCTGAATCCCACTAGGCACAAAGAATGGGTCACAGTTCAAAAGGCAAAAGAGAATAAGAGGGTCCAGAAGAGTTTGGCTGAGAATATATCCTTTAATCAAACAAATTTAAAAGCTATTCTAGCAAAGTTTATAAAGGTGGAATATATAACATAGTATTTGAAAGGCTTACTCAGAACATAATACAGATTGTCATTTAAAATGTAAAGACTATACGCAATGCCAGTTCTCTCATAAATATATTTTAAATCATTTTGCATCAGGATTTTCCAGATTTCTCACGCAACAGGTTACTTCATTTATTCAGTGCTTACAGGGCCACATAAACTCACCTCATCTGAGTTGCAAGAAGATTCAGTACCATTTACCCTTGTCTGGGAAGAACCAAGACTGAGGAGTGGATTTCACTTCACTCATCCAGCTGCTCATAGTCCTCAGACATGCCTTGAAAAAGAAAGGTAGATTCTTTGTATTCACTTAAAGGGAATCCTTCTTTCTTGTCCTTGCAATCTGGTGTTTTCAAACACATGTTTTTTCATGTGTGTTAAAAAGTAAGATATACTGCTGGGATGATGGATCAGTGACCATGAAACCAGAGCCTCAAAATATGTCTGGAGGATTTTGTCTGAAAAGGAGTAGATCTCTGGTCTTTTTCAGGCTACGAATCTTGTTCTGCAGAAGTCAGCTAAATGGAAAGAGGCACAGTGATATTGTTTCCAGTGATTCAAATGTTGCTCCACCTGAGTCAGGAATCCTTTCTATGACCAAGAGATTGGGTCAAATCCCTGGCTTAAGAAGTTCTTCTCAGCTAGAACAAATTCATAACCTTCAACAGAAAACAGCCCAAACAGTGCAGATTGTAAAGCCTTTATGTTATGTATTTTAAGTATATGGCCACAAATGTGTGCAATTTGGTGGTAAGGCTCCCAGTATAAAAGTTGAACAGCCTTGCACCCTGACCTACTTCTTCCTCTTCAACCTCAACATTTTGCAACTTTCATGAGAGTTTTTGCTGACAAGGGAAAAAATCAAATAGTCTTAATATATATGTGTAGGTGCTAAAGATCAAATTTCTGGTCAAGCAATTTAATAATGTCAGTTTTTAACTCCACCTTCCTGTAGGACAAACACTTCTGCAGTTCCCATTAACCTTCACAGGGCATATGGACCTACCTCAAAGAAAGAAAAAGTCTTTGTTTTCAGACTTCATGCACAGCTCATGAGCTAGAGACTGTATTTTGGCTCAAGATCTTCTGTGAATAGGTTCCAGAACAATTTGAAGAGATTTGTCTCAGGTGGTGCTTATTGTTTTCTTATTGCCTCTTATTGTTGCATCCATCTAAGGATACATGACGTATGTTTCCCTTTATTAACTATACTACAAAATAATTTTTAAAATCATGTTTTTAAAAAATTACCATTATTCTTCAGATTTTAAGCTCAAGCACTCAATTGCAGGTTCCTCTCTAATGCCTATGGAGGAAAAAAAATGCCTATTTTAAACATTCACTGTTAAATTTCCAATTGTTAATTCAACCTGCAAACTAGTGAGTACCTTCCTCTATTCTACTGAGTTGAATGGTAGTAGTGGACAAAACTATACAGCATGGCCTGTTTCTAATTACACTCTCATGTTTCCTCCTAATGAACAAAAAAATCTCTATTTCATGCATTGCCTGTTAACCTCTGAAAAGGTCAATGCCTTGTTCCTGTAATGCAGTACACTTTTTTCCCTTCCATTTAACACAGTTATTACTTTCTGGAAGGCAGGATGTCTCTTGCTTAGACTCATGCAGAATCAGGCTGGCCCTTTTCATTCAACTTATGTATTTGAAGGCCCAGGGAAAAGTATTTAAGCCTGACCATGAGTGTAATAGCTGCCACAGACATTGCCTTGGCTACTTATCCTTTATGTGCAAAATTGATGACTGATAAAGCATGTTTTCCTTAGAAACATGTACATACCCTTGGCTTGAAGATCTTAAGCCATGGAAGAGCAAGGAATTGAATTCAAGTATTTCTAGTCCTGAACAACCTAATATCCATTACTTCCATCAACAAAACTATAGGAATCAGCAACATATATTCTTTTGCCTACCAGATAACTTCTTTCTGTCATGAGCTGAAAGCCCTAGTTTTGTGACAGAAAATTTCAGCCAATTTATTCTATTGCCAATATACAAGCTGCTAGTTACTGATTTTGTATTGAGAAATAAAACAGGTAAACAAATGCATAAACATCTCAGATTTGCTCCTGAAACCTCTCCTCCTCCCTTTTTGCTGTCTTTACTGCACTCAGCACCTTCATAGATGTGCCTGGTGACACAGAGGACTTGGTTGATGCATTGTTGTTTCTTCGCTTTTGCTTTTCTCATTTCTGATGTTTCTCTGTCTCAGCACCAGGTCCTCCACAGGCTGGTGTCCCCTCAGAGTATGCCCTCCTAGGCCTCCTCCCTGCCCTCACTGGGTGACTCTTTGTTCTGTGCTGCCTGAGAGGGTCCTGAAAGCAAAAGTTAAATCCAAAATCTGATGGGGCCCCAGGTTTGTTTTATGGTATGGCTCAAAAGCCAGAGCTGGAGCTATTTTTTGTTTCTTTCGGTGCTGAGGGGGTCACCATCAGGGCAAGTGTGTCTTGAAAAGGTTACCATGGAAATTACCAGACCTCCCTCGGCACTTTGGACACCTTATTCCTACTTAAAGAAAGGAGAACTGGCCATCTAGAAATCTTGGAAAACTACAGTCAGAGCCAGCCAACTTCTGGCAGCTGCTCAATAAATCAGATGTGCCATCAGGGAAGGTGTGCTGATCTGTTAAAAAACGTGGGGTTAGACTTTTATCAGGTTTAAAGTGGCTTTAGTTGATGAAGTCTAGGAGTCTGTCGCCCCACTGCACTGGCATTAAACAAATAGCTTTCTACTTGTTTTCCATCATAGCCCTTACCGTGCCTGCCCTGTGAACTCAGCACAAAGGAACTAAGAGAACATTTGCAAACAAATGCGGTAAACTGCTTGTGGGTTTATAAACACAAGCAGTGATTCAACTCTAAATGGCAGCAAGGAGTAGCAGGCAATCAGACCTTCAATTATTAACTAAAAAGGTTGGGCTGACCCCAAGGTTTTTCTCCATGCATGTGAGAGAGAGCAGGGGGATTTCACTGAGTGCGCAGCATCGGCCTGATCGGAAAAGCAGTGCTGTGGCAGCCAGCCAGCAGAGCACTCCTAAGGGTGTGGCAACTGTGTTTCTGGTTTACATGGGCTTTGCTCCTGTGTAGCTGAGCAAAGCCTTGAGGTGTCTCTGCCATCCTGGCTTGCTCTCTCTGAATGGGGAACTGAATCCAAATTTACACATCTCTTTCTCTCTGAGGTGCCTCAGAGTATCCTCTCCCAATATTCCAGGCTTCCTGCAGCTTTCCTGTGTACCCAACACCTCTGGGGTGGGTGTTATATACCCTACGGTGTCTGTGGAACAAATATATATCACAATGAGACAGTGGTGTGAATCCTGTCATGGATTGTCCTCACTGCAGATCTCTCACTGTCTTTAATGTCCATGAGATATGATGCTGAAGTCCAGGAGGAACAAATCTCACAGAGCACCCTAGGAAAAATCTGTGTTCTTCTTAGGGAAATAGAGTGCCTAGAAACATGGACTGCCAACTCTATTACCTGGTATCCATGTCTCCTGCCTTCATGCTACGGAGGGTGGATATGAAAATCTTCCCCTGCCACCTGACCTCTGCTTCTTTCTTAGTGTGACCCTGCCTCAAAAAGCTGTATCAGAGACAGCTAATCTCTACCAACACCAGCAGAGGTTTAGTGAAGCTAGGAGAAAAAGGAGCCCCCTGGAACAGAAGAAAGTAGACCTTGCCTCCAAGGCTCTTGTGAGCTGTCTGCATCCACATTCATCTACTTCCCTTTTCTTCCCTCCTGTTTTTTTTGTTTTGGTTTGGTTTTACTTTATTTTTAGCTTTCCTAACTAGTGCAACTTCAAAAGAACAGAAATGGAAGTAAAATAAGAAATAAGAGACTTAGTGTCACTTCTGACACCAAAGATTGGAGTCTTTCAAAGCATCTCAGGGCACTTCAAAGATAGGTATATAGCAGAAGCCCAGGTCTGGTAGAAAGGGTTTGCTCACTGCTAATCAATATTTAGGACTTGAATTTCTTTTTTCTTTTTCCCTGTCCATAAGGTCTGTTCAGATGTGAATATCAGAGATAAGCCACAAAGGACAGAAATACGTTTGTCACCTAACTGCACTAGGTCTATTGTGACAAAGGATGTCTGCAGAGCCACAGTGAAGACACCATCAGTGTTGGAGTCAAGTTTACGCAGGAGGTGTGTGAGCCAGAAAAATGAATCTGGCTGTGTAGCATACACAAGAAGTGAATTCCTAGACTGTTCATTAATGAAGCCTGGAGACTGGGAAGATTATTGCAATAGGAATTATGTTTAATGAAGGAGGCATCTGCTTTGGAGGAGTAGTGTATGTCCTACTACCTGATATTGTTCCTGTATTTGCACATATCTGGAAGGAATTTCTCTCTATGTACACACAGCTATGATTTTCTTTTGCTCTAAATACTCATCACTGGATAACCCCATTGACTCTAACAGAGTGTCACCTGAACACCTGGAATGAATTTTCCTATGCCTTAGAAGAATATATTGTTCATGGATCCTGCATACATTATTTAAATGGAAAACTAAGAAAACACCATGAAATGTATTCATCAGCCTGACTTATAGAGGTGTTGCACAGCTGCAGATCCTATTTAAGGTCAGTGGAAACTGGGGACAGAGGCATCTCCTCTTTTGCATTCTGAGGAATTCTGAGGTTATTGAAGGTTTTTAATGGTGCAATCAAATCATTATAAGCAAAAAGCTACAAAATCAAATTCAGAACAATGAAAGCATCAGTTCATTAATGGAACAGTTCCAGCCATCTGGTATTCATATGTTCTGCACTGGGGCTGTTATTGTGCAGATATAAATGACCCAATCTTACCTTCCAGCAAGAGCTTTCATTAACTAAATATATCCAAAGTTTTTATTGTTCAGCTAATATTACAGGCCCTATCCCGTGTTTTGTAAGCGGCTTTTTTTTTTTCCAGTTTTGGGCAGCTAAATCTTCAGTCCCACAGTACTTCTTTGGGGATATGTGTATTTCCCATCCCACTGTGGACACAGCACCTTCTGGGAAAAGTTTTAGTTACTTGTAGTGCTGAAGCTCTGGAAGAGAGAGAAGGGGCTAATTATTATTTCAGTAAAAATAACAACACTTAGACACTACTGAAAAATACTGTCTCCCAAAGGAAAGACAATTCTAATGTAGAACTGAGTTTTTTACTTGCCATTATTTAATTTTTTTGAATGATAGCTCCAGCAGTTTTTCTAAGACCACAGAATAACAGAATGGGTAAGATTGGAAAGAACCACAGCGAGTCATCTGGTCCAAAATCCCTGCTCTCACAGGATTATCCTACAGAACGTGGCACAGAATTGTGTCCAGAGGGTTCTTGAATATTTCCAGTGAGGGAAACTCCCCAGCCTCTCTGGGCAACCTGTTCCAGTGCTTGGTCACAGTAAAGTTCTTCCTCATATTCAGGTGCAATTTCCTGTGCATCAGTGTCTGCCCATTGCCTCTTGTTCTATTGCTTGGAACCACTGAAAAGAGCCTGGCTTCATTCTCCTGGCACCTCCCCTTCAGATATTTATACACATTGAAGAGATCCCCTCTCATTCATCAGTGCTAAATAGGCCCAGCTCCTTCAGCACTTCCTCATAAGAGAGGTGTTCCAGTCCCTTAATCGTCTGTGTTGTCCTCTGCTGGATCCACTCCAGGAGCTCCATGTAAGATCTGGCATTTAAACAGACCAAACTGATGTGCAAAGTTACGTACTGTACAGAGGCATCCAACTGTTTCCGAGTAATTTTATTTTTTTAATCTTTTGAAGCAGTGTGGCATTCAATTTATTGGTGGGAAAATATCATTTAGTTTCAGGTGAAAGGGAGGATAAATCATGGAGTTTAGATGCTGTCTATTGACTAAGGATATCTGTTGGTGCAGGATTTTATATTCGCTGGACCTCACCACCAGAACCACAAGGGCAGGTGCTGAAGCAGTGCATCCAACAGCATCTGCTGCACTTGCTGAGGTAAAGCTTTCCCTTTTTGTCCCTGTGTCCTCAGGAGAAGGAGGATTTCAGTCATTTCATGGCAGATCAGGACCTTATGCTTGATGAAGACTCAGAACAACATTCACCATCCAGTCTTTCCTTAACACCCTACAAACAAGTGTTGTTTCTAGACAACCTGGAAAACAAAATGCTGAATGAGTAACAGTGTCTAGGCAGCTACTTGGTCTTCTATGCATTTCTCATAAATGGACAGCTTCCCTGAAACAGAAGTGGTGACCCAGACACAGGCTCTAACTCCTTGGAGCTGAAGGACACATGGGAGTGTTAAACGCTGCCATCCCATGGGAGATACATGTCCCCAGCCTTCCCCCCCGCTGCCTTCCCTACATGGAACCTGCAACCATCCTCGTCTCTGTCCTCTCCACAAAACCATAGCTCCCCTCACTGTCTCACCCCTCTTACCACAGTGAAGATAGAACTGTCAGCTTCCTGGCCTCCTGTCTGGGAGCCTCCTGGCAGCCTTCTGCCCCCATGTCTACCCCCGGCAAGGACCATATGCTTCACACAGCCATCAGCTCTTGTTGATGCATCTGACACTACGTGATTTGTAAGACTATTGACAGTAACTCAGAGGTTTATGGTCCTATATGAGTCATTACTGGATTGGTCACTAGTGCACTGAACTCCCTTGCACCTCTGACAATAACTGCCTGAAGCATCTTACAAACCCTGGTCCAGCCATCTCAGGGCAACATGGATGGTACAAGTGCAAGGACAAACCCAAACCTTTCACAAAGAGCTGATGCACTGGTCTCTTGGACAGACACTGCTCTCATTTCTGTCATTGGGCTCTTCTAAACAACCTGATCTGATCTAGATCTTGCCACAGAGACTACATTCCTAAACCTCAATATGCTCTGGCACCCATGGCCATCCATTTTTTCTTCAATCATGGCCTTGCAGTCCTTCTGTTAGATGTCAAACTTTTCTGGGTTTGTATGACTAATATTTCAGACAGTCAATTGAAACTGTATGAATGCTGAGAATTAAATATAAATATATTAATGACCGCACACATTAAACACACTTATGATTTGAATCAATTCGCTAAATTGAGCACATGGAACTTATGTGGTTTGTTCTGGAAGCAGACTTTTTTCCACACTGAAGGATGTAAAAACTGCTTCCCTATCTGATACGATTCAGTACATCTGTGTGTGATTACATAAACATGTCTCAGACCACAGAGCAGCACAGCCAGGTCTTGTAGCAGTTACATTCATTTAACTTTGTCAGACCATGTGATCTCCCCTGGACCTTTGGTATTTGCCTGTTTCTAAGATTTACAGCATATTCCCTATATTTTCTTATTTAGAGCAAGAGTGGTTCACTGAGAATTAATCACAGTACCCTTGAATAAATGATAAGTCACTGTTTCAGGGCTGAGCAAGCATGCCTAAAGTCACTAACAGAAAACAAAAGAACTGAAAAAGCATTGCTGCTTTACCTTCTTCTGTTCACTGAAAGTTGACTCAGAAATATTTTCTTTAAAATATGTGTAAAAATTTTCTTTAAAATTTCTTTAAAATTTAAAAATTTCTTTAAAATATTTTTACCTTCATATAATTCCATCTCATACACAAATCAGCCTTTCCTTGCTGTTTTCTTACTGTTTCCTTGCTGTTTTCCTTCTCGGGTCAGTAGCTAGAATTACTAAGGCCCTAAGCAGCAATTTCTGAGTAACCTTAAGGATACTAAAAAGTGGCAATTTCCAATTTGTAGATGCAGTAGCTCTTACCATCAAGCATCTGCATACCTGCACTCTCCTCCTGAGGAACTTGCTTGAGGTTGTAGGTCTCACCACAGAGATGTAAATCCTGTCAGATCACCCTTTGTCTGAAGCTTTGATGGCTAAGTTAATCTTGATACTTGCAGTGGTATCTGGGCAACTTGGCTGAGTTTCTGTCCCACAAAGATGAATTAAATCTGGTTTATAATGAAGCTACATAAGCAGTGTTTCCATAGCACTGGAGGAATCATTTTTGCATTCTGAAGACCTACTCTCTTTTCGGTGGTTTATGTAAGTCATCCCATTTCTACCACCAGGGGAGGACACATGCAGTTTGAGCACACTATTTCAAGCCTGCAGTTGTCCAATCTGGATGTAGCCTACGCATAGATGAAAAAATGTTAAGACCTGTCACCTTACTTAGTGTATGGATGCTAAACCAGGTATTAGAGCTTCTAACAGAACAGGCTTCTTGGTCACCTCTCGCAAACACTTGGTAGCTTGTTTTGAACAAGTAGAAGATAAAATCAAGTATTTTCCAAAGTTAATGGCCTGATGAATACTTATGAGTCTTTTCAGCATGTTGAAGTGTAGTCTCAGTGCTAAATTACGGTGCTGAGCACAAAAACAAGGTCTGATGTGGTGTGGGGTCAACAAAAAAAAAAAGCTTCCTAAAGAGAAAGAGCTCCTCACCAGCATGGCAGCAAAAGATTTGCTCATACCGATGCCGAAAACCTTTCTAGTAACAATACCTGTGATGCAGCAGATATTGTCAGTAGCTATAGAAAACACTGTCATCACTGTGTTGACAATACACAGGCAAAGATCTGACTTAAGGAGAACTGTCTCTGCCGCTTTCTGGTTCCTGGGAAACACAACTAGTACTTTAAGTGGGCTTGGTGTTTCATTATAGGTTTTGTGCTGCTGGAGGCATTGATGGCTTGTACAGCCGTAGGTACTCTCCCTAGAAATCTCTCTACAGGGGTTAGAAAAGCTTAGCCATTTCAGCCACTGAGCGTTAAGTGCTGTGCAGCATGCTGTCTTTTCACTTGATGCAAGTACATGCAAAGTGGCCTCTAGATGCTCCTGCAATCCAAAGAAACCAGACTATTTCATAGTAAAAACTGATGGAGGGTGGGGAAGAAGTAATTTGAACCTGGTTTTGTATGATAAAATATAAAAATGCATAAAAAATATAAAAAACCTCTTCTAAATCTGGAAAACTGTCTGTTGCACAACCCTCTCCGATTCCAACGTTAAGGGTTTGGTGAACCTGCACATTGACTATTCCTATGACTGGGGCTCCTAAACGTTTCTTGCCGACATCGGCAAGGGATCCGAAACTTTCACAGGACGAGAAACGCGGCTGCTCCAGAAACACCTGCATGCCACCGCCACGCAGCCTCTCCCCGAAGCCCCACGGCCCTCTCCCAAGGCAGCCTCCGCGACGCTCAGGGTCTGCCGCGGAGAGTGGGTGGAGAGCGGGGACGCCTCCGCTCCTCCCGGCGCTGATCCCTCTGCCTGCGGCGCCGGGGGCCGGCTGCGGAGCGGGAGCGGAGTTCGGCGGGGCGGAGCGGGCACACCTGGGCCCCCGCCCGGCGAGGGAGCGCGGGCGGAGCGGGGGCGGAGGGAGCCCGTCCCTCCCCGTCCCGTCCCGTCCCGTCCCGTCCCGCTCTGTCCCTCCCCGTCCCACCCCTCACCCCTCCCTTCTTCCCTCCCTCCGTCCGCCCGTCCGTGCGCGCCGGCGGCGGCGGCGCCGCGCTCCCTACACCGCGCAGCCCCCGCAGGTAAGCGCAGCGCGGCGGGCCCGGGGGGCGGAGCGGAGCGGAGCGGGGCGGGGGGTCCGCCGTCCCCGCCCGCGAAAAGGTTCCCGCTCCCCCATTCCCCGAGGGTTCCGCGCCCACGGAGCTCTCCCCCCTCCTCTTCCTCCTCTTCCTCTCGCTTTGGTTTTTTTTCTTTCGTGTTCCTGAGCCCAGTCCGACTCCTGCGGCGCGCAGCGGTGCGCGGGACGCGCGCCTTGGCTGGGGCCCCTCCAGCGAAGGGCTCCTTCGGGATGGGCTCGAGTGAGCTGCTGGCGTCGGGTTAAGCTTCTATTGCTGCTGGACTAACGCCTCTGGGGTTGGCCTGGACTAAGTGATGGGCGCTTGTTTGATTAAGGGACACTAACAGTACTTACTTAGAGTCTGTCCTGATTTATTGCCCCCTCTCCTCTGTGAAGTCTCTTTGGATTGATTTATACCGATTAAGGCAGTGGAAAAAGTCCTTGTTAAAAAATGGTTGCCACCTCTCTCTCCTGACTTCCTCAGTCCTTCGGACGAAGAGCCTGCTGAAGTCCGATGGGAGCCGTGTTGATGTGTCCATGGTGTTTACAAAGGTAAAGGACAGGGAGAAGATGAATGACAAGCACAAGGGTATGGAGTAGTAGAGAAAGACGGAGAGGGTGGGGAGCAGGAGGGAAGCTAGAGGACAAAAGCCGTTAGCGAACTGAAGTGAGAAGACAGAGGTGGAACCAGAGGGACCAAGTTTCTTCCTCTAGCTTCTTTCTCTATGTTCTTTTTAAATAGCTAGACAGTGGGAACCATCTCAAAAAGCTGCTTCCTGAAAAAATATATGAAAAGTTTTTGTTACCAGAAAAATGTTGGAATGTTTAAATTTTATTTTCTTGTGGATTTCTCTCTGGAACAAGCTCACACCTTCATGATTTCAGTTGTCTATGAATAAGTTAAAAGCTGCTCAAATCTTCTCTTTCTTCTTTTGTTTTCTCCCTATCCTTATTTGCTGTAGGTTTGGGTTGGTTTTTTAGTTGTTTTTTTTGGCTGTTGGGAGGGTTGTGGGTTTGGGAGTTTTTTTTGGAGTGGGGAGGTTTCCGTTGGTTTGGGTTTTTTTTTTCAAGTTTCAAGATAGGATAACCTGGGGGAGCCTGTGTAGGCAAATTGTGTTCCCAAACTGTGGAGGAATCGGGGTAGCTGCAGTCTTTTTACCACTAAAAACTACTGCAACTCTTATCTTTTCAAAGAAAGTCTTTTTCGTGCTAAGTCAGATTTGGCGTGTGTACCATTTTGTCTAAAAGGAATCAGTCTCAGGTCTGAGTTATGTTTCAGTTTGGCAGCCAGGGCTGTGTGCCATGCAGCCTGTTACTCTCGTGCAAGGATGGGGTGTACTGTAGCACTAAAATAATACTTCTGGTAATTTCAGCAGTGGACTGAAGTGATATTGTGTGAGCCCAGGCATAAGTGAAGCTTTGCCCTGCGGCTCACTATTACTGGCTATAGGCATGCTGCATATTTCTCCTTAACTGATATGTGCTCTGACTTACAAAGCAACTTGATAGGCCTGTGTTTTACCGTTGTTTTTTATTAAATATTAACCACACAAAATCAAATGCTGGATTGGAGCTGTCTTCCTCCAGAGTAGATTGACACTGTCTCATCCTGTGCAGTTGTACATGAACTGTGGTTGTTTTCCCTTTTGTGTGCAAATAACCAGGGAATAATTTAGGGATATTGAGAAGCGCTGTTTCATGATCAGTACGGTGTTGTCCTTATCACTCCTTAATACAGATTGCACTAGTTAGACTGTTGGCTGCTGTAAGCCTTGTTCTGAGAACTTAGCAGGAACAGTGGTGGTTGGAGAGAGGAAAACACTGGCTGGAGTCTGCTTCTATTCCTCCACTCTTCAAAACAAATATTGAGGGTGGAAAGGTTAAAAAGCTTTTGAGACAAAACACATGGAAAATGCAAAATTAAAGTAATGCTACACTGTGTACGCAGCTTTAATATGTGAACTCCACATGTACCAGTCTTATCACTGTGTACAAAAATACTTATGGTTTTCATCAGTAATTCTATAAGATTGTAACTAAAATATAATTCCTTCTCTGCTTAAAAATGAGAGAAAAGAAAAATATCTGCAACTTGGTCTTGTACTGTCGCACAGTGAAACTACATGGGGAATCCAGGAGAGGGCTGAGGGTTGAAGAAAGTGTTTTGCTCTGGAGCAGAAACTTAGGTGGTACTTAAATGGGATTCACTTTTACATCACTGTGATGAGCCCTTAATAACACCTTAATGAATAGTTTGTGCTTTCTCAGTAGCGTCTCCGTACTGAACTTGCTTCTTCTTATGTTCAGAGGTTTAAGCCAAAAGGCAAGTATTTCTTCTGAGCAGCTTATTCCTTTGGGATACTACCACCATATTCTCTTTGAGTACCCAGCAGTTTGAGCACTAACTCTTGGAGGTGAGCTGCCTCCTCCAGATGTCAGAAGAGCTGGCTTTGAGCACCTCTATGTGGTGACCTGCCAGCACTTGCTGAGCACTGTTGCTGTGCCACTTGCTGTGTATCTGGCTTTTTTATCATATGGACGCAAGAAAAAACTGAGTACAGCTCTTTTGCCAACAGGGCTGGATGGGGAACTCTCTCACAGCCATTGCCTATAGTCTTGGTGATGCCCAAGGACATGTGGAAGAATTTGAGAGTGGTAGGAGGTTGTACTGTGAGGCAGTTGCCGTTTCCACTATCATTTGCCTCCCAAAATTGAAATTTGCTACGTTAGTTGGATTTCCTCCCTTTCAGAAAGAAAAGTGCGTGCAATTTAAGAGACACTTAAATTCAGTCTAAATTCAGTTTAAATCCATCTAAATGGTGTATTTGAACAGCAGCTGCTACAAGTAATGCTAGGGGAAAGATGCATACAATTGTTTTACTGAAAGGAAGATAGAGCAATCAATATCAGCATCTTTAGTTTGTGGATTAGTTCTTTATATGTTATGCATTTCACTGCTTTATCTTTCACAATGGGTTTTATTAATTTTTTTATCAGTTTAGTAGTGGGAAAAAAGGGAAACAAACTTTGAAGAAAGTAAACAATGTGGTTGTAAAAAAAAATAAACAAAAATGAAGGCATTATGAAAACACTCTTTTTTCCTTTTTTTTTTTCTTTTCCATCTTCCTGTGTCCCCCTTTACAAAAGGTCCTCATTTGTGGCTTTAGAATTTTTGATAATTTGAAGGAAGAGAAATACATGATCATGAGGGACTTGAGCCAGCAGTGGCTTAAACTGGCATCCAGTGTGTGGTTTTGACTTTTCTTTCCCATTTGTCACAAGGTGTTACTGTAGAAAGGGGTTAGTCCTCAGTAGTGCACCATTAGGGCTGATCTTACACGTCTCGTGTTTTCCTCTCAGGTGCTTTTCTTCATAGCTAACACAGAAGCTTAAGGTTTCATCCATGGCCTATAGATGTCAATGGTAAAATGTGTATTGGCATTGAATGACTTTGGATCAGATGCAAGGCTGATGTGTTGCTTTTGCAGAAATACAAAATTGTTTCCAGGGCAGAGGAAAGCTCTATCAAAGGAATAAGAGCTGCTGTTCTGCTTACATTTCAGGGAATTTAAGTTTTGGTTTTCTTCATTTATATTTCAAGCTTAGTTCCTTTAAAACAAGTAGAAGTATGTTCTTGCACCTTCATTGACACACTGAAACAAATGGCAGTGAACATCTGAACATCTGGTACCTTGTTTTGATTTTTATTGAAGGTAAATGAGATTTCTGATAAGTACCTATGTTTGTTCATCCAAACCTGTCCTTCTCTCATCCATTGACTGCCTGACACTGTTCCCATATTTCCAGACAGATTAACAGTACTCTTGGCTTGCAAAATCTTGGTCATTGTTTGGCTGAAGGTTGCACTTTAGGATCAAATTTCATTTTTTAATGACTAGTATCTCTTGTTCTTGAAAACATAGTTTCTATTTGTGCAATGTTGAGCACCAGTAAGGAAAAGAGCCTATGTGCTGGTGCTGTTTTGGATAGTATATGTGTGTCCCAGTTCCACATGGCACCCCCATGATCATCGCGTTTCTCTAGTGAGCTTTTGACAGAGACCTTTTGAGGTGGTAAAGGCATTATATTTCTATACAAAGGAGCAGTGGCCTTGCTTGGATCAGTGCAAAGTGTCCAGAATTTCCTGACAGGGACTACCTGCAGGAATTTGTTAAACATGTTTTTCTCAGTTCTTTATCTACATCCTAGTGAATCTGCCTCCTTCTTGACCCAAATCTTGTAGGCAGTTATGTTAGTGCACACAGGGAGGGGAGCACTGGCGCTCTTACCCCAGGGCAAAGAAGCATTTCTTCTTAAAAAGAAAGCAAATCTTCCCCCTCTGCTTTTGGCAGACAAAAACAGCCACAAACTTGTGTGGCTGCTGCGGTTGAAGGGGTGTGGGTAAGGCATGCCTACCCTTGCCAGAAGCACCACCAGAGAAGGGGAACCACATCCCTCCTCCTCTAGCTACTTCCAGGATGAATAGCCCGGAAGGGTCCTGGGCTGGGGCGTGTGGAGAGTGTTCTGCTTTCGAAACGCCTTGAAGATCAGTGCTGGTGCACTTTGGAGTGGATTAAGACCTGGCTGTCGTTCCTGCTTGGGAAACGGGAGGAAAGTGTTGTGCCTTGCTGTTTCCCACTCACATATTGCAGTGTGGTCTCTGCCGAGATAGTGGTAAATAGCGTGGATCGGTGGCATGAGAAATGCCTTCAGTTGCAAAAGTGGGAAGGCTGGATCTCTTTTAGAAGGAAACGTATTTTGGGAGCACAGGTACTGTATTGGTGACAACTGTATATACACTTTTGTACCAGCTGCATTATCTTTACTTTAGATTGTTGTAACTTGAGAGGTTGGAACTGCTTTGGTTTTTTGAGGGCGTTTTTTTGGCTTCCATGTGGCATACTGTAGATACAATTTAGAGGTGCTTTCCCTTTCTCTTTAAAAATACAAATGTGCCAAGTATGCGAACCTAATATTATCTTTCTGCTTTTGCTTCTGACTGTGACTAAGAGATGAACACCTCCTGAAGAGGATTGTTAAAGCTACTGTAGAAAATGCCAGTGAGTTTGATAGTCATATATGATGAATTTCAATTCTGTGGAAGCCTCGTGCTGTTGTATTACAGACCATTTAGCCTTTTGTGTAGGAATTTACATGCCACAGTGACCTTCTGAGTAGGGTGAATTTCAGAGGCACTCTATGAAATATATTGGTTCTTGTCTTCAGCTAGAAAATGTATTGCATACTGCAGTGCTTGCAGGAGCAAGCAAAAAAACGTTGGATTGACATCAAAGGCAAGATCTTTCTGCACAAAATCCTGAAGCTTTTGAGTGGTAAAAGTCTGGCAAAGGAAACACATGCTCTTTTTCATTGTAAGACCCTTTTCCCTCCTTCCCCCCCTCTTTTTGGGATGTGTATGTCAAATACGAAATGGTGCTGGTACATTACTTATGGGAGCATTAATTTTTCTTAGACAGTCTTTGGCCACTTGTTGATGATTTTTTTCACCCTGGATGGAAAGATGTATTTATAACTAGAGCAGTATCACTTTA